TTAACGGATGTTCGTTGTACATCGTTTGCAGATTAAGCGGGCTGATGCCATTTTCAGGAGACGATGATCATCAAACTCTGGTCAAAGTGGCTAAAGCTGACTGGGATTTTGATGACGAATGCTTCGATGACTTGTCACATGATGCGATGGAATTTATTGAAGGACTCCTAGTCAAGGAGCCAAGGTAACCAACCAAAACAACAGCTCAAAAGCGAGGTTTTGGCCAAAATGATGGAGTCAAAGTAAAGTACCATTCGGCGCAATGCACAATCAATGTCTTGATTATCAACTATATTTAAAAGGGTGATCATTGATGCCCTTTCCCCCCCTTCCTAGACTAAACAGCTGCCAATGCAAGAGAGCATGCTTACAGGCTACTTCACTCTCCTCAGTAGGCACAACAAGACTATACCAGAAGTTGTCGAAAACGTGTCCAAGCCAATCGACAGATGTAGTGAATACAGTGGTACGGTGGAACGTACTGTCGCGGAAATGTTATGGCTTGGGAATCCTCCTTTCACTCTTTGGTGTTTATGTTCCACATCACTAACAACCTCGCTCTTATTTTCAGTGAAAGGTTTACAATAGAAGAATGCTTCCAGCACCCATGGATAAAGGTAATGTTTAGTGGTCAGTTTTAGCTTAGTAAATTGTTTTTATGTGCAGTTCGTGCTGTAAAAGGGTCACTAGCTATTGGTCAAGACAAAAAGAGCAAATGTTCCGTCATTTATTGAATGAAGTCTTTGAACGAGATTCTTCCCTCTTAGGTCTCCTATGGATTTAGGTGTGTCCCCAAACGTTTTGAAATGATACTAAATGACTGAAGTTTGACCTGTAGTTACTGTTGAATGTTCTAGAGCACCTGTATGTTTGTTTGTAACACAGACACGCCCATCTTAACGTAGAGTGCTTATTTTCTTTGCTGCAGGACACACACGACACAGGGACGAAGATAAACACAGTAAAACATAAGGCGTTCATGGCGAAGAGAAGATGGAAGGTAAACGGCACGCTGACCTGTTATGGATTGTTTGCATTTGATTTGTAGAATTTCATATGAAGATCAACCATTGCGAGGTATAATTTCGAGCTCAGATGTCTAAAATGGCGACTATGGCTTGAAAAAATTCACATCTAAAATCAGTTTTTATTAGTTTGCTATTGGAAGATTCGAAACCAATGAAGTTTCGGGAAGGGTTTTCCTCGTTCCAGTTTGGTACCAGTTAGTGATCGATTCCGGTTCGTCTGAATTCTCCAAGATCCCTGCAGAAAGACCTCTACTTTAACTAGATATTTACAGGTAAAGATAAGCTCAAAACCAAGAATCGCATTCCATTCAACACATTTGATGAATCATTTTTTAACTCATTTCTCAGAAATCTGTAAATGCTCTTCTAGCGGTACGCCGCATGTCCTTATCACCTCTGTCCGGAGCAAAACGAAGACGCTCCATGGATCCGTCAATACTAAAGACAACTCCTGAGGGTGAAGAAGATCAAACCAATGACGCGGACAGAAAGGGATCCGCACCAATTGATCCATCGTCGCTTACTCTCCCACTTACCCGTCGCTTCGGGGAGACACGAAGTTCTTGTTTTGATTTGGACATGAAGACAATAAGAGCATTGCAGGAGAAAGCTGATAAAGCAATAGGGAAGAACTCGCAAAAGGATGAAAACGATAACGATGACGAAAGTAGCTCGAGTAATAGTGATTTGGATGATCATGATGACGTTGATCATGACAATGATGATGACGATGATGATGAAATTACCGACTTGAATAACAGCCATTCTGGCGGACCGGAAAACCCAAGAAGAGGGAGCGACATAAACAATGTAGTCTATCGCGAGAGTTGTTCTTTTGAAAAACCCAGAGCAAACACTTTCTGTGGAACAACTTCACGTCAAAGAAAAATCGCGCACGTGTCAATCAACCTTGGAAATACTTCCAAAACAGACTTTAAGCCAGTTTCAAACATGGTCATCGTGATATGGATCTGATACGGCATGATAATCCCTGATTGGGGGACAAGGGTCGAATTTTTACTGGCACATGAAACGCCTCCGGAGTTATTTCGCTTCGATATGGTAAAGCATCTGCGGTGTATGGGGCATCTGATAACTCTCTCGTTGAGTTCAAGCATCGGTTGCTTTGAGGTTGTTTGGTGAAATATGGCGATGGAATCTCCCATAGTGACCGCGCTTAGCTCTTGCCGGATGAGATATTGTAGTTCATCGAGGAAGGAGTATTTCTTGACGTATAAAAGAATGAAAATTAGCGAGCCATCTTTTTACATTTCGTGCACAGTTGCAGATATGAACGCCATCAACATCGTGGTCAAAACAACGGAAGAGGAAGACGAAGAAGAAGAGGAGGAAGAAGAATTCGTGAAGTATGGAGCCGTGGATGAGTTTTATGACCTCGAAAAAGAAATTGGCAAGTAAGTGTTTTATTCCGGGCTTATTTCTTTGTAATTGTACCTTTGCAATTAATTCTAACCTTGAAAAAATGGCTTTTTTTTTCTCAAAAAGTAACGATTTAACGCAGTATACCCTAGTACCACAGCAAAATGAAACGACCAAAAATGGCCCTCACAACAAACGATTCTTGACAAATGGTCGAAACGACAAACCTCATCATGTCGCCTCTTTATTGAAACAAAAAGAATTAAAGCAATGCGGGTTTATACCAAAATCCGCAAGATATTTGACTGTCTAGTAATTTTCCCTGGGTTATTTAACCTTGCGGCTAAAAAAGTAACTAAGATCATGTTTACAATTAGCGAAGTGTCTTCCCACAGGTCTCGGTATGTTACCGCCTTTGTGTCAGATTTTCAGCACATCTATCTAATATCTTCTTTCAGCTGTCCAGCAATAATTTTGCATGAGTTAGTCACCTTGCTAGAAGCATACAATCAGATGAATTCTCCAGACTTTGTTATGAGCCAAGGAAGTTTTCAGCTTTTATTGGAAATGTTTCACGGAGTAATGAGGAAGTTTCCAAACAGGAAAACATTATTTTAAGAGGACCAATCCCAAGAATTTGATTAATTAGAATGTCTCACACATCACGACAATTTTGTTCAGAACCTTCAGCAATCTTGTTTACTTTAAGGAAGCTAATGTCAAAGGCTGCTGCTTGTCCAGTTCTTTTAAACCGTTAATCCGAGGATTTCAGTGAAAACTAAATTCTAAGCTGCAGAACCAGACGTAAGGCTTTGAAAGGTTGCCAGAAGTTATGACAGTGCTGACAAATTGGTCAGAAAATGTGAACCAAAACAACACGGAAAGTATGAAGTCATCTGTGACCTGTGTTTGTGGACAACCTTGGACCCAGTCTACACGACGCCGGATAAATTTGAAAACGGAGTTTTCTCTCTGAAAACGCATCAAATGTTTTCCGTCCACACTGCGCCGGAGGAATTGAAAACGCAGCAACTGCTGGTCATTTTGGATTTGTGTTTGAGGAAATTTCGGGAAGGAAAATCACTTGATTATCTTGACGCCATCAGTTTCGAAAAGCTCCGTTTTCAAAACGTTTTCCGTCCACACCAAAAAGGAAAAGACGGCGTTTTCAAATTCTTCCGTTTGGAATAGCGTTTTTGAAAAGCTCCGTCTACGTGACGTATAAATGTGGACAATAGGAATAACCGTAGAAATAAAGCTGCGTTTTCAAATTTCTCCGGCGTAGTGTAGACACACTACTTAAGCAGTTTAAGGATATCTGTTTTGAGAACGTTGATGGGTTGATGCTAGCAGATTCTAAATTTTTTAGTATCCGGCGAAAGCGCAAAAATGGCTAGTTGATAAACGTCGAATCTGATCTTCTCTTGTCCCAAACGGTTATCTGCCTCTTTATCCACGTAAATGGGTTGGGATCCTACTGCTTTTCTCTATGCGCGTGTGGCAACCTTTTAGCCATTAACATAAACGGTATCAATTTATTGCTTGCAAATGGATGGGACGTTTTCAGAACTTATGGTTAAAGGAGCTCGGTCGTCACGGTATTTTGAGTTATTTCGGCCACGAGCAAAATAACCTTTAAATTGAAAGGAACCTGAAAATGACAGTTTATCAAGATGGAAAAACAGCGAAGAGAAAATAATAAAGCTTAAAGGATAAAGGATGGCTAGTAAGGATGGAGATGATTGACACGAATTACAAACGACGAACTTGAATAATTTAGGCTAAACTTTGCAAATGCGCAAACCGTGACGTAGCTCCTTTAAATGACGGGGAATTTGAAACATATGCTTATCGCTGAATTTGACTGTTCCAGGTAACCCGATGTGTAGCTAGCCAAATAAACTTGTTCCCATTTCATCAGCCTGGCAATGGCCACCGCGCCTCCGCAACATTGGTGCTGTTCACACATTTCTTTCTTTGTTCTTTTCTCAGAGGTTCTTATGGCATTGTTAAGAAGTGCACTCACAAGACAAAAGGAAACGTGTACGCTGCAAAAGTAATCAAGACCGCTAACCACAACATCAGGAAAACCGTGCTTCGAGAGATCGAAATCATGCGCTCTCTTGGACCGCATAACAAAGTTGTGGAACTGGTAGATGCCTATCAGACGCCGTTTGAAATCGTCATGGTCTTAGAGCTGTAAGTCTCATTTTACCTCACTGATTGTTTTACCACATAGAGCGTTTTTCAATTGAGTGTCAAAAGTAATCAGACAATTACTTTGGTCTCGGTGTTTGTACGTTTTAGAGCGGTTTTCAATCGAGTATCGTAAAACCAAAACCAAACCAATTACTTACCAATTAGACTACTCAGCCAATCTCAAACCGTAGTAAAACTAAAACCAAAGTAATTGCGTAATTACTTTCGACACTGAATTAAAAACCGCTCTACTACGGTTTGAGGTTGGCTGAGTAATCTTATTGGTATGTTATAGTCTGGTTTTGGTTTTACGATACTCAGTTGAAAACCGCTCCATATTGGGGAGCATTCGAACGGGGTAGCTTTCCTGTCTACCATGAACGCTCGTTGCTCTCCCAGAGAGAGTAGAAGGCAGAACTATTTGAATTTTATTTCCAGTCCGATCTGCGCAGTCTCAGTACTCTAATGTTTGTGAGTCTCACTCGATGGAATGCGAATCGATGTTATTCATTACGAACCGCTTCCCTTACTTAGGGGGCATTTTAAGTCCTTTTCCAAACAGTTTCTTTGATTTTTACAGCTACGAAGTTGTTTCAGAAAGTGATATCAGAAAGAAAGAAGCATAAAGCTTCCCATCGACGCTGGCGGTTTTCATGAAACTTTGAATTTAATTCATGTAACTTACGAAATGTTACATTTTGTGTCGTCTTACATGAACCAAAACAAAAAACGCAAACAAACTCTCGAGAGTGCGCAGTCCGGACTGGAAATCATCTTAAACGTGTAGGTGTGGACGAAACATCACGATTTTGCCGAGCAGTTTATCCAGTAGGGATTTGCACTCCATTACCTTCACATGTGCCGATGTTTTCCTTTGTTAGTTTTATATTGGAATCGATACAAAATAACAGAGCTTTAATTCACACATTCAAAACTGAGAATCGCATAAATGGAAACAAGGATGGTGCTGGATGTAAAAGGTTGAAAAACTGTCATTAAATGTGTCACCCTGTTTTCTCATCCTGTTTTAGTGTCCATGGAGGTGAACTGTTCGAGCGAATCGTTGCTGAAGAGTACCTGATGGAGGATGATGCTGTTGATTACGTTAGACAAATCCTTGAAGCTTTAAAATTCATGCACGAAAGGCATATTGTTCACCTGGATCTGAAGGTGACAAGCACTTCTCTCTCTGTACTAGCTATTCGATTATACCAGGATAAAAAGAAAAATGATAACAGTTGTGGGTCAAGAGAGTATATTACGATAGAATTACATTACCATCATTATCTCACACTTTTCAATACACAGTTGTTTCGTAATGGGTTGTCCTTCAGAAGTGTAAAAGCGTATGCGACAATGCTGCTGGATTGAAATTCGTGGTACGTGTTTCACGGAAAGTGGAAGAAGGCGTGCATACAAGTATTCATGGCTTTCCCTTCATTCGCGTAAAATCACCTTGAACGTTGATCAAGCTACGGGAAAAAAGTGACTACCCGGTATTCCTTTTGATATTGGCACGTGTGCTTTGACGTTTTCATGGAAAAACCGTCCTCGAAACAGCTGCTATAATTTATCATCGTCGTCAACGCCATCAGCCCAAGAAAACGTAGACTGCCCAGCGTATCCATGTGGTGGCATGAATAATTTTTATGTCGGAACTTCATTTTTGGGACTCTTTTAAGTCTCCTCTCTGCCACTTTAATTTACAACCTCTTTGAATAGACCGCTTTGAAGACAGCCATTTCTGCCTCGGTCAGCGCATGAACGTGAGCCCCTCCTCCATCGGATAGTCTATCCCCGCCCCGGCCAGCCTATGTATCCGTTCTGAAGGGAGTCGTACGATCACGTTGTTATCTGCAAGGGCAAAAAAAACAAAAAAAACAAATAAATAACGTCCAAACGGGTAAATGTAGTTCCAACTTAACACAAGATACGTCCCCGGGTGGACTTGAACCACCAATCTTTCGGTTAACAGCCGAACGCGCTAACCGATTGCGCCACGGAGGCCACCGGATAACAAAACGGGATATACAATTAAGATTTCTTCCTTGCTTATTCACGTCAACTTTCTGTTTTCGTCTTTAGCCAGAAAACATTCTGTGTGTGAGCATGGATACCAATGACATCAAGCTTGTTGACTTCGGACTGGCCAGGAATTTAGATTCCGATGAAGAGGTTAAATCTTCCTTTGGAACCCCAGACTTTGTAGGTGAGAATTAAAAGGGAAGCTTTTTTCCTCCATAATCATCTCTAACCACGCAATATTAGTCTATGCATGTGGTAGTCTGTCTCAGCAAAGTCAATACTGTTAGTTTAGAGCCGGTTATTTTTCAGTGGGCCATTTTCGAAAAATGAGAGCTATCACTTGGCGCCGAGGGTGATGTAGCAGCTCTGTCAAGGTCTCACACGAACAGCTTGCTACCCTTTGAGAGAACAATAGAACAAACAACAGAGACAATGCTCCTAGCCCTAAAACAATAACAGCTGCTAACAATGAAGAAAATTACAAGCTTACGAGAGCTGTTACACTTCTGGGCGCAGAGGGCTGGGGTGTAAAAACAAAACAAATAANAGCTTGCTCACAGCCTACTTTACTCTCTTCAGAAGGCACAACAAGGCTACCTGAATTTGTCAAAAATGTGTCAAAACCAATTGTTAGCTTTAGTGAATCTCTGCGGTATACGGTGAAATTTACTGTCGCATTGTTTTATGGCTTGAAAATCTTCCTTTCACTTTTAATGCTTTTGTCCCTCATCACCAACACCTTGCTCTCATTTTCAGTGAACGTTTTACAATAGAAGAGTGTTTCCAGCACCCATGGATAAAGGTAATGTTTAGTGTTTTGTTTCAGCTCAGTAAAGTGTTTTTATGTGCAGTTCGTGCTTTGGAAGGGTCACTAGGTATTGGTCAAGACAAATAGAGCAAATGTTCCGTCATTTATTGAATGAAGTCTCTGAACGAGGTTCTTCCCTCTTGGGTCTCCTATGGTCTTAGTGTGTCCCCAAACGCTTTGAAATGATACTACATAACTGAAGTTTGACCTGTAGTTACTGTTGAATGTTGTAGAGCACCTGTTTGTTTGTTTGTAACACTGACACGCCCATGTTAACGTAGTGTGCTTATTTTCTTTCCTGCAGGACACGCACGACACAGGGACGAAGATAAACACAGTAAAACATAAGGCGTTCATGGCGAAGAGAAGATGGAAGGTAAACGGCACGCTGACCTGTTATGGATTGTTTGCATTTGGTTTCTAGAATTTCATATAAAGATCAACGATTGCGAGATATAATTTCGAGTTCACATGTCTAAAATGGCAACTATGGCTTGGAAAAACTGATTCACATCTGAAATCAGTTTTTATTAGTTTGCTATTGGAAGGTTCGAAACCAATGAAATTTCGGGAAGGGTTTTCCTCGTTCCAGTTTGGTTCCAGTCAGTGATCGATCAGATGTCTGCAAAAATACTCCCATGCCTTAACTAAATATTTATAGTAAAGATAAGCTCAAAACCGAGAATCACAATCCATTCAATACACGCATTTGATCAACCATGTTTTAACTTTTTTTTTTTCAGAAATCTGTAAATGCTCTTCTAGCGGTACGCCGCATGTCCTTATCACCTCTGTCCGGCGCAAAACGAAGACGCTCCATGGATCCGTCAATACTAAAGACAACTCCTGAGGGTGAAGAAGATCAAACCAATGACGCGGACAGAAAGGGATCCGCACCAATTGATCCATCGTCGCTTACTCTCCCACTTACCCGTCGCTTCGGGGAGACACGAAGTTCTTGTTTTGATTTGGACATGAAGACAATAAGAGCATTGCAGGAGAAAGCTGATAAAGCAATAGGGAAGAACTCGCAAAAGGATGAAAACGATAACGATGACGAAAGTAGCTCGAGTAATAGTGATTTGGATGATCATGATGACGTTGATCATGACAATGATGATGACGATGATGATGAAATTACCGACTTGAATAACAGCCATTCTGGCGGACCGGAAAACCCAAGAAGAGGGAGCGACATAAACAATGTAGTCTATCGCGAGAGTTGTTCTTTTGAAAAACCCAGAGCAAACACTTTCTGTGGAACAACTTCACGTCAAAGAAAAATCGCGCACGTGTCAATCAACCTTGGAAATACTTCCAAAACAGACTTTAAGCCAGTTTCGTTTTCTTTTAATACGGACGATCTGAGGAGAAATGACAGACCAATTTCGGAATCCGTCACAACCAAAAACGCTCAATCCCAAAAGAACGATTCACAGCAGGATTCTTTTACGAATGCCGGAAATCGCTCTAAAGACACAGAAGATTCATCGCTCTCGACAAAGCCAGTCGATAAAGCTCGCAAAGGCAATTTTAAGCCGCAGCAATTAACGTTGCAATTGGATAAATCGGTTGTCAATGACAAACCCACGAACTCAACAGACGACCATCACGAAGAGCTGCCGACAATCTGTGTAAATGACGAACTCTTTCTTACCAGTCCTCCACCAACTTCATTGACTTTTAATAACAACATCGAGAAGATGGACCGACAAGAATTGATGTCGACACAACCATCGCTCCAGAACACTTCTGGCCGGAACATTGCAAATGTCAATATAATTCCAGATGGCGTTCAGGCCATCACGGTACAACTGGGAAATTTGAACGGGTTACAATTAAAACCCAAACAGGTTTCTTGCAGCGTGAGTCGATCTTCGACCGAATCTGCTCCCTGCTGATCTGGCAGCTACTGGATTAAAAGTGAATTAATGTTAATTATAATTAGCACGAATGAACACTTCCCCAGAAACTTGTTACTATAAGTGCTTCTGGGGTTGTTTGAAGCAATCGCTGGTAAATGCAAAATGGCGGCAAATTCAAGGACAGTCCACACCAATTTCGTCCTCAGGGCCTGCTCGGCGTTTCTTTTTGACATGGACTAGGTGCGAGGTCGCATCTCGACGTGTAATTCTATTATCCTGATGAGCGGCGCCATAAATAGTTCTTCGTACAACTGATAATACAGCAACACAGCAGTTCACTATAGCCTAAAAACAGACAATTCAAACAATCCCATAAATAGGTAAATGGCTTGAACCCAGGAGATTCAGTAGGATAAGAGTGGGGGGAGGGAGGGGGAAAGCTCCCATATGAAAATGCTCGTGGGACAATTTGAATTAAGCTCCTAAAGGAGACCAAACTGAGCGTGGTGCAAGTTTTAATCACCTCTGAATGATACCACTTTAAAACGGACATGGCAGTGTATTTATTATTTCTTCGAGTACAACCATAAAACATACCTTGATAGCTAAAACTTGTGGCGTTTTGTCCCGATTACCCTAAGTAAAATCAAAATCTGTCATTTACACCACTAACGGCAAGACAACGGCATTCCCGACCTTTTCACATGGGTGCATTCCTCGTTATATTCGACAAGAAATATGGGTTATCGACCAAGTGTGAGGTCAAGATAGCTGGATATTGGCCAAGTTCTTTTTTTGCGTGTTTATGGACCTCGACTCCGTCTCGGTCCATAAACACGCAAAAACAGGAACGAGGCCAATATCCAGCCATCTTGACCTCACACTCGGTCAATAAAGGATATATTTTACGGCTTTTGAGGAAATGTTTCTTGCTGGACACGGCGGGTAGTCCCGAGCGGGCAAGATAGCTTCATCTTGCCCGCTCGGGTAACCAATCACAGCGCAGGATTTGGTTCATCTTGCCCGCTCACGGAGCTAGCCATATAATAAGAGTATTTCCACGCGCAGCAAAAACTAATCCCGCATTGAACTGCTGCCATAGTTACCTTTTGGACGGACAGGGTGAAAATGACAATCATCATTATCTGAATTGAAATTTAATACTCTCAGCTAAATGCATGCACTAGTATGATGAAGCATGCAGAGCTACTTACTTGTCAGTGAGATTGCCGTGTGAGTCAATTTGCGATACTATTCGCTAATGAGAGTTAAAGGATATTAGAGTTTTTAATAAACCAGCTGTTGCTTACAATGGAGTGTTGATAATTCTTGTCTGAAAAATCTGCACAAAATAATAGAAAAAAAATTCAAGGACTCACAGTTGGTTATTACATTCTAACGAACACTATTTATTACATAAACTAGGGCAAAGTCTAGTCTCTTCTGTAGACGTTTTCGGGATGTCACGCAACGCTACCCCCAAAACTCCTGTGGTGAGAGTTGCGTGACATCCCAAAAGACGACTGCAGAGGAAACCCGACTAGACAAGGTCCTGCTATAAGGTAAAATCGCTGGCCGATGTGCAAGGGCGTGGGGAGCACCGACATAACCCAGTCAAGAAAAATTCATTATCCCACACGTTGGCAATTATAAGCGTGCGCAATTAAGACCATGTTCCCAGACGATTTTACAAGGCGTTATCATAGGATCTTGAAGACTGAGTTAGAATCCTGTTTCTCCAGCTTCCCCTAGCGCACTAACCTATGTGCAGACGTTTCGTTGCCGCGTGAATAAAAAAACGTCGTCACGTAGGCTATTGGGCCCACCCTAAATATTAAATGGGCCAAATGAGTTAGTGTTCCCATTCTCGTCCCAGAGCTACTCATTATAAAAAGTCTTTACGGAAGCTCTGGGAACGAGAATGGAGTTTATGGATAACTTACAGCGCATGCTCGGCAGACTCTTCCAAGTTCACAGCATCTCTTGCCCAACAAATTTTCGACAAAACGTTTATCCCCGGGGGAAGCTCTCCATTTAATTTTGCATTGTTTGACTACGAGTAATCACGAATCGCGAGTCGCGAAGTAAGCAAGGCCTTCTTTCTTCGTGCTTTCTCGCGTTCTCGAGTGTCCATGTTTACTCTTGCGCGTTCTTTCCGTCACGCGCGACGGACTAAGTTAAACCGGTGATGGTGGTGTGGGAAAGGGGGTTGCGCTTAGTAGCTCGTAGTCTACAAGCAAATTTATGTGAAAACCATTTTGATATTCACTCCTAAAAATTGAGGAATTTCCTTTCCCACCCTGACTGAGGGCAGACGAAAAACGAAAAAAATGTCGGGACAAAGACTTCAATAACTGTGGTGAAGATTGAGATAACCTTCTGTAAATATCAACAGTGACTGAGGGCTCCAATCCACGCGCAGGGTTTTCTGTGTCTTGTTTCAGTTCGATTTCAATTTCTTCGATCTATCTGGTGTTTCGAAATAAGTTAAGGATAACTTTATACCTTGATGGTCCTGGTGTTCCTGTTTGGCGTGCGTCTACCACTTCCCATTACGTGCATTGGAAAGAGATTATAAATTTTTACACACTCGGTAGGACATATCGCGTTACCAGTTTCAATGTCTGGGTCTGGAACTTCTCCAATCTATGCACCATATGCACGAGCAGTATATTGTTGATATTGCGCACTTTAAAGCGAAGGAAAGCTCGGAAGGGGACGAGGGATACAAGTTGAGGCAACCACCGATCAAGGAAGGGGTTCATTCCAACCGTTTGGCGAGGATATCTGAGATAAATATAATACGGTAAGACTCAAATCCTTGCATCGCGCTTCTCTGGATTTTCTCATAATCTTGACGCAAAAAGAGAAGATTTATTGTATACTGGTAGACTGACATTTTAGGCTAGTATGCTAAAACTCGATGTAGTTCTACATTAAGCTGAATTATTTCTAATGAATAGCGGCCAGTCGGTAGTTCGTCGTTTAATATCAAAGGGGAATTACATAAATTTAAATGATTGAATTGGATGATTGCTTTCCCGGGATTGCTCTATCATACAACCTTTCCGAGATTTCATCAGTGCTAGATGACTGCGATTGCTGTCCTTGGACTCTCCGAGGTTTCGGTTTTTTTTTTTTTCGTCCCGTTTTCAAAAGAATAGCAACGGTGATGATCTTCAAAACCTTGTGCGATAAGCGGATTCTTTGTGTATCCGCTCCCGTGTCTGTTAAAACAATGTTGCTGCTGTTTCTGAAGTGCGTCCGTTTGATATACTGACGTACGACAATAAGCGGGTCATTTGTAAAGGTAAAGATTATCTCCCTGCAAGCCGTTCTTAATTAAAAGAAACAACTGTTGTCTCTTCGGATTATTTACGTGTATCCAACAATGTGGGGAGGGGAGGGGGGTACAGATCACTAAAAGGAGAGAGTCGTATTATTTTACGACGGTAACAAAAGCTAAACTCATGCCTGTCAGAATAGTTATTTATTTACTTAATTATCTATCTATTTGTATAATGTTTATTTAGAGCGGTGTCGAAAGTAACCAGGCAGTTATTTTCTGTTTTGGTTTTACTACGGTCTGAGATTGGCTGAGTAGTCAATTTTACGAAGTTATTTATCTATATAATTTATATTCACTGATATTATATTTATTTATTCGTTTATTTATGTAATTTATGTAATGTATTTATTTATTTATTTATTTATATAACTTATTTATTTATTATTTATTTATTTATCATGTGGATGATGATGCGTTTATATTTAATTTCATCGGCCGGTGACGTTTTACCGCCATGTCTATGCACAGTGTTCGTAAACTTTGCCGCAAAAGTTCCACATGCGCGGCTTTCCGCCAATATATTAATATATTAATTCTAACTTGGCTCCGAGGCTCAGGGGAATAAAACAAAAGAAATCCTATCGGGCATTAGGGAAGAATAATTGCTTTCTTTTACAAGTTTTATTCCCATAAGCGTCGGAGCCCAATTTGAATTTTAATGTATCGAAATTGGCGTATGATCACCATTGAGTTACACACAAGAACGAAGATTGAGTTAGCCAGCGGAGCGATCAGGCGGGGTGAAGCATCCGCCAATTGGAGGGCGTTCCGCTGCTCTTACGTAAGACTAATTTTGAGTAGTGATTTATACTATTCAAGTCATTTTTTCACAATACTGATCAGCCAACATTGTCAAGCTTAAAGATGACCTCGTTTCTTTTCATTTTCGCTAACAGTCTCTCGCGAAAGAGCTGCCGTTAGTTCTACCGGGTAGTTCTGCAAAAGTCCCGGTTAAATTTGTCATCCAACCGTAAATGGAAGCACCCTGGCTATTTTTATGGAAAAAATATTGCTTGAAAAACGGTTTATTGTTTGAAATTTGACATTTGTTTGTCCAAGGTTTCGGCCTGGTTGTTAAGGTACTGTAGAAACGTGACCCAGTGATGAAGAGGATTCAATTAAAAATGTATGTTAAAAACACATAACCTCTATGACCTAAAAAAAATGTGGAAATATTTGACAAAATTCGTCTGGATACCGTCAAGTGAAAGCACAAGACCTGAAATGGACGTGCTGAGCAGAACTTGTTTGAGGGAAAATTTAAAGGGACACAATCACGTAATAAGCAAAAAAAAACCCGCTATAAGTGATCCCGACGGCTGGAATTGATGACTTTAGGTGAACTTGGTTTGGAAAAAAAGATCACAATTCATTGGCCTCGTTATTGTTTCCAAAGAGGACTTCATTCCACAACATTCCACATGGAAGATGGCTTCTGTTGTAGTCTGCTACGCAAACATTCCAAGATAACTTGACGTAATAGGGTCAGGTCAGTGGTCTCAGTGTTGTCACGGGAATGTTTCTCTCAATGGGATTTTTGTTATTCCTCGCAAATGTAAACTATTAGTTCTCCGTTTCTTTCAGTTCAACCAACATAATGAGGATATTTTTTGTACTTCTTGTACTCCTCGGCCACGTTGTTGCACAGGCTCCAAGTAAGTTTAGTTTAGTTTTGTTGTTGTTGTCGTTTTTGATTTAAGTTTTATTGTCACTTTTGCCAATACTGTTGCCAGTTCTTGAGTTCATGTTTTGAATTGCAATCTCAAGTAGTATGCTTTGCTTTGTCAACTTTGTGGCCTTTGTATGGCCCTTTTTGGCCCTTTTTGGTAACTTTGTTTATTAACAAGTCATCTACTCTTAGAAGACGCGCACGACGTGTTAAATCAATGTGAAAGAAGCTCGAGTCAGAATATCTTGGCCAGACATATGTAAGATAGTTTTCTGCTTAACGAAAACGGCTCTCTTTTTTTTCTCATTTAAGGGCCCTTGCACTCTAGTTTTATTTTTTCACTCTTTCACTGTTAGCTAAATCCACTGCCTTTTTCGTTGCAGACTCCTGCCCCAAGCCTCCTACAAATCTTCTCTGTTTCATTGGGGCTAAAAACATGTGTGTTGACAGTAGCAAGTGTCCAAATGGGACTTTGTGCTGCTCCGACGGCTGTCGACAACGCTGCAGAGATCCTTCCAATAACAACAGGGGCGCTGGCACAGGTAAAGCAAATGAACCCAAATCCCTGCTGTGTCCTCAAATTTTGCCCTTCTCTGAATAAAGAGGGCAACTGGTACAAAAGTTAACCAAATTCTTAGGGAGCGAAAACCTTAACAGCGCTTATTAAAACGCACAGAAAAGTTCCAAAACCTTCAAACCTAGCATGCATAGTGTCGCCAATACAGGGACAAATATATGGCCTTCCTTGTGCATCAGTATTTGGCTGTGCTAGGTTCGCAATGTATGGTGGTAGACTGTACAACCGCCATCTTTTTTCCTACGGCAGTTCTTCTATTCTTTCTCTTTGGTTTAAACACGTAAGGTTTCTAGTCACGAAATAACCTATGTTGAACAAACCTACGATGGTTTAGTGATTTTCCCTGTATTACAATTTACGCAAACACCTCTGTCTCTAAGAGCAAGCGCGGGCATGACATCATACGTTGCTATCTTGGAGTCTTTTATCCCCCACTGTGGTTGCTTTCTACAGGTACTCCACGCCCTGGCACGTGTCCTTCTCTACTGTTGCCTCCCCCAGGCCCTTGTGTGTCGGATTCAGACGAGTGTATGTTAGACGTGGATTGCGACGGTTCCACCAAAAAATGTTGCTATAACAACTGCTTCAAAGTATGTGTTGAACCCGGGATAAGCACCATTCAAGGTAACTTTCTTCTCTGTAGCTTTGCTATTTAAAACTGTGATCAAAGTTGCCAATTTTTTTTTTTTGAAGTGAGATACAGCATAGCGCCTCTAAAACATGTCTGCTTTTCTCTTTCAACTCGTGGGTCACAGTTTACTTGAGAGCAAACAGTAAACCGAGTTGTTGATGTGTGTCAATCGCCTACTCGGTTCAAGTGCCAAGCGATGGTGAATTACGGTTTCCAAGACCGGACCGAGCATGCACTTTTCGTTCGAAAGTTACTAAGCAACTGATCGCGCTATGTTGGTATGACAACCTTCAAAGTGCAAACTATCTGCAGGCAAATAGTTTGCAACAGGCAGCAACAGCTCCAACAGGCAAATTCGCAGTATGGTGGCGCGACTATTCTACTAAAATACATATAACATAACACTGACGAAAATATCACCACGCTCGCTGTTTTAAAAAAAGTAAACCAAAAACTACAAGGTCTTACAACAAACTCTCCTTTCAGTTGCATATCCTTCCAGTTCCGTTACAACTTATCTGCCACACATTCTTTGACTTGACAGAAAAATAAAACTTTAGGAGTATATTTATGCAGAACATCTTCGTGTAAACGTTTCCAAGCAGAACTTAAAACTAAAACATTTAGGGCCGAACATTTAAACGAAGTTTAGGTTAGACCTGGTTTTTGACTAAATCGAGGTTTAGACAAGGCCTGCAAAGACCACGGCTAGGCGTGGTCTAAATCGCATTATTTAAATGCAGTCGAGCCGCATTCCGCGGAGACCACGTCTAAGCGTGGTTTAACTAAAATTTCTATTGTTTTCCAAACCCCGCGTGTTCAGAATTTTGAAGAGGCCAGATGAAAAAATGGCTTCAAAATCTCGAAATGCAAATTTTAGCCAAGAAGAAAAACTTCTACTTGCCGAGCTCGGGAGCAATATTTCGATATAGAAAACCAAGGATATGACAATGCCAGCTTAGAAAGGAAACAGTCATCGTGGGAACTGAGTTGCGCAAAGTTTCAACGCCGGAAATCCCGATGGTAACAAGCGCGATATGAAAGCAATTCAGGGATGTTGGAAGCTCATGAAACTGTAAACGAAAAAGGAATTTGATGAGCAACGGAGGGGAAGCAAGAAGACAGTTGGTGGTAAAGCCCCAGCTTCACCAAATGCTATTAGTAAGCTGGTTGCTGACGTTATTCCAGCGTCAGTGAATCCACTGGAAAATCTTCTATTCTTCTAAAGGATTAAGCTTATCCCGCAAGTGTCGAATTCTTCGAACACGTCGAGTATTAGCCCATTGCTGTAGGCGTCTATATCTCAAACTTCCATCCATGACGAAAACCTTCACTAATAAAACGTTAGACTACTTCTAAACCTACTCATGACCAGGTCTAAGTTGCTATTGTTTGCGAGGCTGTGTTTAGACTCCGTTTAGGCGGGGTTTAAGATAAGTGACGTTTAAATAACCCGGTTTCCCGGTTGAGACCCGGTTTAGACCAAGGCCTTCTTAAACGACGCCTAAACTTCGTTTAAATATTCGGCCCTTAGATTTTGAACGTCTGTAAGAATTAAACTGTAAATTCTTCATAAAAATTCCTTAAAGGAGCTCAGTCACGGCTTGCGCATATTGAAAAGTTTAGTCAGTTTAGCTTCAACTCATCAAATTCGTCGTTTGTAATCCGTGTCAATCTTCTCCATCCATAGCCATCCTTGTTCCTTTATGGTTTATCATTATCTCTTTGGTGTTTTTCTATCTTATTAAACTGTTATTTTCAGGTTTTCTACCATTTAAAGGTAATTTTTTATGTGGCCAAAATAACTCAAAATACCGTGACTGAGCTCCTTTCACATTTTTTTTTTTATGGTTTCTTTTCCAGACAGGTGCCCGCCTCCAAGAAAGGACCCTGAGTGTCACTTCGGTCTCAGGAACCAATGTTCTAAACATTCGGAATGTGATTACATGAAAGACGGCCTGTGTTGTTTTGATGGCTGTCGCAGACGATGCGCTACTCCTAAAGGCTTTCAAAGCAGGATAGAAGGTACAAGTAGAACATACGAACAAGCAGTTAATATGAAGCCGTCTTAATCACTTATTCAATAATTTACTGTGTCCAAATTCGCAACTAGCCAATAAGAAGTCGTGTCTATTCAACAGTTCCACCAGCGCTCGTTGGATATGAAATGATAGATAGCCAACGCTGCGTCTCACCATCTCATATCCAACAAGCGCGAATGAAATCGTAACTGTCTTATTTAAAAATACGCCCTTAAAATTAAGATAAAATAAAAATGAAAACGCCCCCCCCAAATTACCCAAACGCTTACCATATTTGTGGAGCATGGTACAATTGCTTACATACCATGATGGCCAAAAAAAAAAAGCGATGGCTGGCTAAGCCATTGAAAAATTTTGAATTGCACTATTCAATGATCAAGTTTTCAATTAATCCTGATATTGATCCTGATATCCTTCGATAGTAAGTCATTAACTTGATTTGGACTGATTTTTGGTCGAATTTGGGTACAGTAAATAACTAATCGTTCCTTTATTGGTACCTTTTGGCGGCATATCAACATCGTTTGGTCTCGCAATGAGTATTTTTGGCTCGACTCTGTCATGTCAAAATACAAACCATGACCCGACTAAACTTGCCTGATTTGTTCCCGAAGCGTACCGGAGAGGTACGATCAGCTAGAGGAAAAGCATCTTTTCCGGCCGAGTCCTTTCTATCATCATCATCGTCATTATCAGGGAGTTTAAGACCCCGTCTACAATGCGTCAGAGGAATTTGATAACGGAGATTTCATTCTGAAAACGCATCAACTATTTTTCCGTCCACAATACGATAAAAGAATTTAAAAACTCAACAATCACCGGTCATTTTGCATTTGTGTTCGAAGAAAACTAGGACAGGGAAATCAAGTGATAATCGTGACTATACATCGTCTTAGAAAAGCTCCGTTTTCAAAGTGTTTTCGGTCCACACGAAAACGAAAACCCCTGCGTTTTTAATTAAATTTCCTCGGTTTGAAGAGCGTTTTCGGAAAGCTCCGAATTAGTGTGGACAGTAAGCCAAATACTAGAAATAAAGCTGCGTTTTCAAATTTCACCGGCGTAGTGTGGAGGGCGCCTAAGTGACCACGATTTACTTACGAATCTCACGATACTCTCAAGTCATTTAGTTTGTTTCTCACCCTCAAAATTACCTCTGAAACTGAAATGGCATACAGTGTTAAATTCAAAATAGAAATTTAATTAGCCGCTGTGGTGCACGTTCTCCAGACAACGCAGAGTTTGGTTATTTCAAGTTGTTATTTTGCACAGGACGGCAAAGACACGTACCAAGAATTATAACGCACGTGCACAGCCATTGTTCTGCTCATTAAACCTCTTGTTTAGCGACTTTCCCGTTGCCGTTGTGCTTTTCTTAAAGTTCCCAAGAGGGTGCTTAAAAAGACCAACGAGGCAGCAGTCATGTAAACTTGAGCATGAGCAGTACGTACATAATGGGTGTACACGTGCGTTTAAAATTTTGGTGAATTTCTAGGACGTCCTCCTAGGTCCTGCGTATCGCGAAGAACGTGCTTATTGCGATTTCGGCTATTTTTTCGGATTTCAACTTGGAATTGAATGCTGACTTAGCAGCTGTATCTAGCATGTTAGAACGGTGCCCCATGGCTCAAATAGATAGCAAGGAAAATAAGGGATTTGTGGCCTTGAACAAGATCACAGTTTGAGTGAATCAGAATGACCTCCACCTCCTTTCGCCGCTCCCACAGGACCATCTGTTGCGTATGTTCCTCATACCCTTCTAGGGTAGTATTAATTGTAATAGCTGTTAACATGTTACCACTAACTATAATTTTCTACCAAAATGTCTACACTGTCATTCTTCAGGCGCCAGGCCCGGTCAGTGTCCTGTAACTTCTCCGCCTGAGTTTTGCGTCTCAGATGTGGACGAGTGTGAGTTTGATGGCGATTGTTACCCTGGAAAGAAGTGCTGTAGTAACACATGCTTCACCAGATGCCTCGATCCGGTGGGACTCTCGGGCTCAAACGCCAGTGCTATAGGATCACTGATTNATATCCCACCATTCGTCCTCCCTAAATCTCTCACTAAGTTGTTTAGCTGTAGTCGACCATTTTGATGACTTCTTTAAATTCTCAAATTTCACAACTTTGGGGGATGCCCCATTGATTCTGTAGTCCCGCGGTACAAGCCACGTCCCCTGGAAGAATCCTGGATCCGCCCTTGTAATTTAAATATAGAACAACTTTGTTAGGTCTATTTAACAGAAGTTGATTTGTCGTTGTTATCATGATCATCTATGTGACCTAAATGTAAAGTTTGAATGCCTGTAGTAAAATCCACTGGCTCAATAGCATTGATTTCTGCAAAAAGTGGATTGGATTTTGTGGCATACAATTATGGAGCAGAATACGATTGTGCAGGTTCACATTCCGTGAAAAAAAATTTCGAATTAAAAAGAGTTGATGAGTTTAAAATTTTCGACTCTCGGCCACTGTTGTTCTTGATTTGCCCAGAAACACGGTACGAGTTATAGGTTAAAACTGAAACAGACCTCAAAATAACTTACTCTTGACACATCGGCTCTCCCTTAGCTATAAAATAATACATTACGTTAACAGGCCTCTCTGTAAACCAATGTTTTAGCCGATATGAAAAACCAGTTTTACACATGCGCGGCTCATGATAGTGTCCCTTTAGGAGCTACCACTAGGAATGTCAAACCTTAGCCAATAACAATAACAATAACAATAACGATAACGATAACGATAGCGATAGTGATAACGATAGCGATAGTGATAATGATAATAATAATGAATATAATACCACTTTATTTATAGAGCGCTATTTCGCTTTAGCTCAATAGCACTTTACAATGATTACAGTCAAAATTTTAAAATACAAATTTTACAATAAACATTCTTGTATATTTTCAGTTTGTTGGTGCTCCTTAATTTTGTGAGGTTTCCTTCAATTTGAAAGTATGTTTCGTTTAATAGAAAATTACTTAAAATATTGAAAAGGGAGCTGCCTACTAATGTTTGCAATCTCTCATCCTAGGAGAGGCATCGGGAAAATGTCCCGTCACCTCCTCCACAGGCCGATGTCATGCTGGACTTATAGACACGTGCAACATTGACAAGGAGTGTCCATCTGGTTCCTACTGTTGTTTTGATGGCTGCAGAAGGAAATGTTTGGATCGTAATAATGACACCGCTTCGGCGCAAGGTATTAAGTCCGCATTTCTATTACGGTGGTGGAAACTCTCTTTGAATCACTTCCCTTAAGGGGACAGCTCCTTTTTATCCGAGCAATGTATAAACCTTTGCATCTATGACCTCTATTAACCGTACATCTCTATCAAAGGGACGTTGTTCACACTGCTACGACAGTATCCTTTAACGTAAGTTACATCGTAACCAAGTTATAAAAGAGTTAGTGGACGCCTTAGCTGAGCGTTTCACGTGTTTGTTAATAAACGATATAGCCGGGTGGATCCGCAGATTGCTTTGACAGTGTTATGACGAAATTCATTGCCAATAACAAGACAGACGTATGAAAAACTGACGTCAATTTGTTTTTTACGACAACAGATTGTCAAATTGTCCTCTCTCGCTCGTTGATGCATTGCATAATTATAAATTCATGTGTCTGTCCGCATATTGACGATGAAAATTAGCCAATGAGCGCGCGAGAATTTCTGCCGTTGTCGTAAAATATTACATCGAACCCTCTCAACATGCGCCGCGCGTATGTCGCACTTGTTCACTTGTCACTTGTATTTTCTTGTTATACACACTCACGTAAAGGCTCGTGTGTATAGCGAGAAAATGCAAGCGACTCGTGGGATATTCTCCCTCGGATGATTCATGGTATACCACTCCAAAGTGTTGCATAACTAGGGTGTACCTGTACATTCCTCTCTTTATTGTTTTAGGAGGAGACAAAAAAGGAAAGTGCCCCTTTCTTGTGCAACCGAAATTGTGCGTATCGGACGTGGACGAGTGTTTTATCGACTGGGACTGTGTTGGAAACCGAACGTGCTGTTCCAATGGCTGTTATAGAGTTTGTGTGTCTCCTTCGGTGGGTCAGGGGTCTGCAGTAGGTTCTGTGCAGCTGCAGGCTGCAGCAGGTACACATATTTTAGGACTCTACTGGACGTTTCTTGGGAATATTTCAGGGGAAACACAAATATTCCTACGTACTCTAGACTAACTGTTTCCCTCGGGACAAGTTAGAAAGATTTCTGTTACAGAGAGATAACAAATAAAACTGTTAGGGGGCGTTATAGGCATGTTAACGGACGGTCGACACGTATTGCTCACCGAATGTTTTTCGTAATTTAAGATCAGTCTTGGAAACACGCTACCCGCATGAGACAAACTAAAATGCAAACTTTGCCAACATTGCCGAAGTCCACGTAGCCTGCGAACAGGCTCCCGGAGACCGCGAACAAAGCGTCCCTCCCCGATCGCTTCGGTCTCCGAGTTCTTCAGTTTCGCGCTTGTCGGCTCGCTTCGCACGCCGAATTTTTTTCCATCCTCGCCGGGAGCTTGTTCGGAGGCTAAGGACCATGAATAAAGAGCGCATACTATTTAACTAAATAACTGACACCGGTACAGTTTGTGAGCTAATGATGGATTTAAAGCCTTAGCCCAAGTTATTATAGCTGTTTTTTTTTTCTTTTTTTTTGCTAAAGGATATTTACATCTTTTTGTGTGATAATTTTAGATAGAATTAGAGGTAAAATATAGAAACTATAATTATTAACTGACTACATTTAAAGCGGACTCAAGGGTTGTAGAGTGAAATATGTATTGACAGAATAGTGAATGGATCGTATCAAAGACGCGTCAAGAGTTGTACACCACGTTTTGCGGAGGTGTTTTCATGATCGTCCACACTGATACAATCGAGAACCCATTACGGGGCTTTAAACAATTCGTATTTGGTTACCAGGCTCCGTAGCAGTTCTAAGTGGGGTTGTCACGTGACGCTCCTTACCGAGCGTTGCGTGACAATCCAAATAACGGCGCCGAACAGGGGACCAGGTTAGGCCTCGGTGTGACAACTTTACAGTGTGAATTTTGTTGTTTCTTGACAGTCAAATGTCCAGAGCCTGTGGTGCGTTCCTGTGCCAAATCACTGAAGCATCAGTGCGATGATTCACGCGAATGTTTCACCGGTACACATTGTTGTTTTGATGGCTGTCGGAGAAGATGTGTTTCCACCGCAAGAACACCAGGTATGTGGCCTATGTGGAGCTTACCAACGTCATAGATAATTTTTCTCGTGAATTCCAGTGACTGGGGAGAGTAACCAGTTGTTTGCTGTTGTCGTTGTCTAGAACTGGGAAACTGGGGCAAAACAATTCAAACAGTCCGGGCTAAAATCCAAACCTTACATGTGTGTGGCTAGTTTTTTTACTTGCTCAGCTGGACCATGCAACTGTTTGATGTTCACGAGCTAGTCTAAAAATTTCTTTTTCGGGATGGTGAACAGGGTTGAATATCTAGGTATCCTATCACTTCCTAACGCTTTCAAATTGTTCATTTACATGTCCACGTCACTGCCACGTTATGACAATGCTGCTTTCTGGCTTGTGGCAAATCTCGAAAGAAGCGACAGGAACCTCCATCCCCCCCTCCGGGGGGGTACTCCCTTATATAGGTTATATAGGTATATGCGGCCCCAAAAGGTAAAGTTTTCAACCGTTTTGATCATAAGAAGGGTATCGATTTTGGCCATTTTGGTCATAAAAAGGGTATGGCTTGAGGCACTCTAGTCTTGAACTGGGTATGTTTTTTTAGAAGAAGCTTCTTTTTCAGGTCATAAGTAGGGTAGGAAAAATCGCAGACTTTGGTCATAAATAGAGAAAGGGTTTTGAGAAGCGGGCCGCACCCCCACCCAATTTTTCTGGGAGTAGCCCCCGGGCGCCATCCAAAAGTGGCGACCTTAAACGTAACTCGGTCTGCGATGAGAAACAATGGAAAAAAGGACGAGTTTTTAAAGAAACAGAAGCAGCTATTCAGTGACTATTTTCTAAGGCAAAACTTGCCATGAAGTATGATTCAATCTGTACATTGTAGATTCTTAATTTCCTTTTGTTCGGTTTCTCTTGAGCTTCTCTCTAATTAATTTTTTTTTTTGTCAAAGATACTTGTCCTAAACCAGCAGAGAACTTGATCTGTCCGATCGGACTCAGGAACACTTGTGTGGATGACTTATCGTGTGGCCCCCCTGGAACAGTCTGTTGTGACGATGGATGTCGGAAGCGCTGCATGGATTCGTCCCATTTCAGCAGTGGAGGAATAAACAAGGAAGGTGAAATGTACACTACAATTCCCTTCCATGTCAAGTGTTGTCGAGTGTTAATTCTATATTTGAGAGAGCTAATAACTAAAAACCTTACTTGCTTGATTGCCTCGTTCCTTCGTTTCTCCGTTCCTTCGTTCCTTCGTTCCTTCGTTCCTTCGTTCCTTCGTTCCTTCGTTCCTTCGTTCCTCCGTTCCCTCGTTCCTTCCTTCCTTCCTTCCTTCCTTTCTTCCTTCCTTCCTGGCTTGCTTTTTTGTTTGCTTACCTCTTGTTTTGTTTGTTTGTTTTTTACTGGTTTAATATTCATTTATTTCTATGTTATCGCCTTTTCATTCAGAGAAACCCCGACCAGGCACCTGCCCATCTCTAAGTCCACCATCTGAATTCTGCCCATCTGATTTTGACGAATGCAAGTTTGACTGGGATTGCGAGACATCAACGAAAAAATGCTGTTCAAACGGCTGCTACAGAGTCTGCGCTGAACCTACAGAGGGAAACGTTCTAGGTAAGTCTATGACGTCTCTTAACCTTGTGTACAGCAGGGCCTTAAAAGTTAAATTACATCCAAGATAGTGGTTCTCCCAAAGAGGCAACATTCTGAATCTCAACGTTGAGATGGCTCTTAAAAAGAGGTTGCTGGGAACACGAGAAAAAGAGAGTAGCTGAATATTTCTCCTGAAATCCTCTCAGAACATAAACGTCACTTTAAGCATTTCCATTGAAACACTATTCATTACATCTGTAAATTTGAAGGGAAGAAAAAAACGCTTTGTCTCGACATCCATTCAAGTTGTACATTATACAATTGTGTATTTTTTGCAATGACGTTATCATAAATAATTATACTGACAAGGACCGTTTGAAGTAAATTTGTCTTTTTGCCTTTCCTCATGTCAGACAAGTGTCCTGCTCCGGAGAAGCCCAAACAGTGGTGTCCTGTGACTCTTAGGAATCAGTGCTCCAATCACACGGAGTGTAGCTTCATCTCAGATGGGCTTTGCTGCTTTGACGGCTGCCGCAAAAGGTGTGCTTCTACAGAGGGCTTTCCGAGCAGGCTAGAACTGAGTAAGAAACCGTTTAAGTTTTGTTGCCGTTTTTAAAATATAGTGGACGTTTTAGACCTATTGTCACGTTATCTGTCCATGTGTCTGTTTGTGTGCCAGTTTGGTCCTCCAACCAAGATACTCTCTGCCTGACTGTCCAACTGACCGTCTGTCTGACTGTCTCTGTTTGACTATTTGACAGTCTGACTCTCGGTCTCTCGGAAACTCGGACTGCCCATGCCTGACTGTCTGAGTATCTGACGGTCCGACTTTCTGACTGTCTAACGGCCAGACTGTCTGACTGCCTGACTGTCTGACTACCTGGTTTTCAGATCCAAGACCTGGTAAGTGTCCACGCCTGCTTCCGCCTGAATTCTGCATCTCGGATCACGACGAATGTGAAAATGATGCAGACTGTTACCCTGGAAAGAAGTGCTGCAGCAATACTTGTTTCAGCAGATGTGTGAATCCAAGTTTTGAAGAAATTGGCGGTAAGTTAAGTTCAAACCTCTTTCATTGTGCATTGGTCATAGTGCAAAGAAGTTACTAGTTTATGTACACAGGAAGAAATGTAATGTGTAGTTCACTTAAAGTGAAAAATAATCGTGAACCAACACACATACACTATAGGACAGACTCTCTCTATACTCAATGCTTTAAACTTTCAAGAACCCTTTAAAGGGACCTTATTCAACCACGACGAAGAAGATAACGTCGATTATAAAAAAAATTATACCCTATTAGGAGCGGTGGTCAGAAAAAACCGGCAAGATCGCTCATGCAGTTCTGCTCATTAAACAATCTTGTGCGCATGTCGGACGTTCCTGTTGCCTTTGTCGTCGAGGTCTGCGTAAACAAGCTAAAAAGTCGCGCACGTGACCTTAAAATGGGCATATTCATATCAATTTTATTGTGCTCATTCAATATATACGTCTGCATTTTGAAAAAGGTGTCAATCAATTATCATTCCAGTTACATACACAACTTAAGCAACTGTGAAATTAAAGCCTGAAAAAAATTCAGGCCTAGCCGGGATTCGAACCCATGACCTCTGCGATATCGGGCAGTGCTCTAACAACTGAGCTATCAAGCCAACTAGGAGCTGGTCACGTTAGGAGTTCGTAATATATCCGTGGAAGAACGTATGAAAGATCATATATTTGAACTGCGCCAAAAAGTAGGTAATATAAAAAATCAGTCATTTTTTCCTCCACTTTCGTATATTCCTTTTCCCACTCTTCAAATTGTTTTGCTTTGTTTATCTTTAGAAGTCATAAATTCAAGATTGTAGTTCACTTGATGAAAAAGAACAGAGTTTTTCTAAGCACCATTTTCATAAATCCAGTCATATACCGATATTTATTACTAGTCAGATCGTGGCCTACAATTTCCGGGCAATTTAGAGGGAGATAAGTCATGCGGCCTTTCCTAGCTATCTTCATATAATAAATAGTAGCAGCTGTTACCGGTTGACATCCTGTTTCGTCGTGCAATGTCAAACTTATCTTGCGCTTGCACGAGATTGAGTGTTATGTTACTTGTTTCTTTTAGGTATCGTAGATTCTGCAGACAAGTGTCCCAACACAACACCTTCGGAGACATGTCACGTGGGACTCAGGCACATGTGCAATGATGACGTGGATTGTGTAAATGGCACCTTGTGTTGTTTCACTGGCTGCAGGAGACAATGCTGGGATCCTTTAGACAGAAATAAAGCGACATTTAGTAAGAGAACAAACACTCCACTAATATATTGTTGTGATGTGGGAAAACATTTCATTACCGCGATAGTCAATCCGTTTGATTTGTCTGCATTATTTTAGGTTGGACCGCACGAATGGCGAGGATGTCGAACAAGGATGTGTTTTGGATGTAAAGTTCTAAAATATCATCTATTTTGTACACTAAAGTTCTCATACACTAAAGTTCTCGTGAAAATAATGCTCTGCTCTTTTCTTTTTGTGATATGTGAAAGTCCTATGTATGTTCCCGTAAATTGTTAAAGAACCCTTTAATTTTCCGTTAAACGTGGTCTGGGTTCCCCCTTTGCAACCCTCGACGAACAGTTGTGAGAAACAGGAATACTGCAATAGTTTAAGAGCACCAGATAATGACAACATCCTGTCTCTTAGACCTAAATGAGTCCGCGATTATTCTCCTCGAAGTTGCTACATGTAAGCAGCATGAGATATACCAATTGCGCCATATTGGGGTGACTGTGCACAACAATGCATGTCATTAATCAGTTTTGCCAAAAAAACGGCAATCGGCAACGGTTGTCAGTCCTCTAAAATAAGAACTTATCAAATATAAACTATCAAACCAGGGATTCAAGAAACAAAATCAGTTGCTGTTCACCCTTATGGCAAATAATATTACACCCAGACACATGCCACATTTATTTTGTCTGCTCGACTTTTCTCGGCGCCAAATAGAAAGATTCCCAAAGACTTAAAATCGCTTCAGTAGGAATTCTAATAATTCTAGAATTGCATTAGCTAGTACACAAATCGGACCGTCAAGTCATTAAATTACTTTTACAAACCCCAATTAAACCAAAACTTCATTGAAATGGCTATTATGGTATAACAGTTACACTGATTTTATCTCATCCGAAGATAAGACAGGCATCTGCCCAGTCCTCGATCCTCCTCCTCCGCCATGTGTGTCCGATGTGGACGAGTGCTACATGGACAACGACTGTCTCAAAGACAAGAAGTGCTGCTACAATGGATGCTACAAGATTTGCGTCTCTCCTTCGATAGAGAGTGGAGCTGCTGCAGGTATATTACTGGGAGCAGGGATCATACCATCTGACCGACCCTTGTATCTCATAGCGAACCTCCTGTTAAGTGGACAAAATATCCGCTGGGGATTGAACCAAAGGAGAATTATCTGACTTTCGACGCTAACTGGGGCACTCATTCTTTATCATCAGGGTTTGAAATCGAAAAGCGAGGGGCGCAAGAAAGAGCGCTGAGCGGGTAAAAGAAAAAAAAATCACCCATGCACTCATGCCCCCTTCTCTTGCTCTCCCTATGGTTCAATCCCCAGCGGTTTTTCTTTTGTTCGCGCCCTGGACAATGTTAGTAAAAATAGAAAGTGTTCCCCCTCCCCTTCGCTAAACACCTATTTCCGTACCTTTCAGGTACCTTTTTCCCGAATTATTTCTCCAGTATCCCCGCTACTTCCAAATCAACTCCCGTCTACCCTCTCCCGGGAAGCGGACGGTAAAATGAATAATAAATTGCATGCAGAACCACTCTTGGTTTGCCTTCTGTTTTTTTTTTTTATTGATTATCTTCTCTTATACTTGTTTCTTGTTGTGTGGTAGTCAAATGTCCAGCTCGGGAGAACTACCGCTGTGCCACGTCTATAGAGCCTTCGTGTGACGATACGGACAGTTGTCCAGATGGCAAAATCTGTTGCTTTGATGGCNGACTGAAATGCAAATTGACGTGGAGAGGGGAGTATTGAACGGCTTTAAACCCATAGATCTCCGCCTCAACAACCGCTCGTGCATAGCAACTGCAAACGAAACTCACTTTAGCCTTGTTGCGCCCCTGATGGGCTGTGGAACGGACAGCAGTCACACAAACGAAGCAGTTGTTTATAGCAACAACGTGAAAGAAGATGAGGTCGATGTTGAGGGTGTTATTACCAGAATGCCAGAACTTTTAATTCCTTTCAGTTGTTACTACACCAAGGAAGGCGTGACCTCTACATTCGGGATTATTCCCAGAAAGGTAACGAAACTTTGTGTCTGAGTCATTTAAACGATAGACGTTTAAACAAAAGGCTGCAGTGGGTCAGCACCCACGATCTATTTTCAGACTTTCAGGTTTTAGAGAAACTACTCAATATGAAACGACAGTAGTCCCTTTTAAAATAATTTCCATCGAGGTATTTATTCGATCATGGCACAGCGTATCTCAGAGCGTTGTGTGACAAACATATGAGCAAAAGTCAATACCAAGTACCAAGTAAAACGCCTAACGAGTAGCGGTCAGGGGCAATCCAACAGTTCTGTTCCTTTCAAAATCTTTTCCCCACCAAAACTCTGGCTGAGAAACCCAGGAGAACAAATTCGATGTAACGTAACCATAACCCGGATAATGGATGTTCTGTAGGGATTACCGGTTGGCTGAGTGAAATATGTTCGAGTTTCTCTCCTAGAGGAAGGATGATGTTGCGTTGCGTTATTAAAAAAAAAG